CAAAGAACAGATGGGAGATTGAAGGAGCACGCCGAGTAATACGCAAACCTTGGAAAGGCCAGAAGCCTCAGCCTTACGAAGCATAACTGAGAAAATTTCCATGCAGAGAACAAAGAGATAAGGAGACAAAGGATCTCCTTGTCTCAAACCACAAGCCGGCCGAAGAACCTGAGTCGGCCTACCATTAACAAGGATTTGGTAGTTGACTGTAGAGACACACTGCTTGATAATTTGGATCCAATAAGGAGGGAATCCAAAAGCCTGCAGAACATTCCATAAAAATTCATAAATTACCCTATGCTTATTATATACTTGTACTACGTAGTTTGTTTCTAACTAAATACTACTAACAGCGCAATAGAATTATTGTTTCTCTTTTATGTCCCTCTACCAAATATGAGTTGTGCACTTTGTTGATAAATCATTAAATTATATTGGAGTCATCTCCATCATATTGACCATACTTCTTTTCAAACAAAACAAAATAAAATACACGGAGAGTACTTTGTTTTTTCTGACCCGTAAGATAAAATTAAAACCAAGCTTATGAAATCATTTGCTTACACAAGGTTGTTGACAAATTAGGGGTGAAACAGATAATAAAATGAGTTGATATATTATTAATCATAGGTAGAATATTTGTCCCCGTCTAATTTTGGTGTAAAGAGAGGTACATGGTTTGATCCCTAATTATAAATACCTTCTCTTAAAACTTATTCGATTAAGCTAATTGATCATCTACATGTCCTCCTCTGTTTGGCCTTTGAACAAATAATTTTATATGTAGTTTACGCAAGTATGTATATATAATTGTTTTTAAATAGCAATTGGCCTCTCTAAAATGGCCGGCGACTTCTTGGTTATTTTCATGACTCATACCCCTCCTTGCTTGTTAGCGTCACATGGGTCACTACTCACTAGCTATAGGCCTAGCTATAGGGCAACATTGTAGCCTAAGGGTTGCCAGGCTCATGGGCTGCCACCCATATGACAATAACATAATAATGCGCCATTGAAAAACCAAATACTCTTTGAATGAAGTAAACCTTGGGGTCTATTGTTGTTGGGCTAAAGAACACAAATAGTGCAATAAGACTTTCAACATGGGACTCACTAATACAAACTCAGCGCACAATATAGTTCTTGAAAATCTCAGGATGACTCTAGGGATGTCTAATGCATCTTTGTACATAAGTAAGATACTAGAATTGTATGAGATATCCGAAAACTTGTTCATATGATCTTGTATCCGTTTGTATAGAAGTTTCTAGGGCATATATGTATAGATCATTCTTTGCATGGAAGTTGGTAAAGTATTCTAGAAGTTATAATGTTGGGGCTCACTTCATGGAGGCCTATAAATAGAAGCCTCCCATCATTTGTACAATCATCTATACACATGTATGTCACATTCACCCAAGCTTAGTTTGCGTTATAATATCATTATAACTATGAATTTCTGGTGTATCAAAAGGAAATGTTTTCGAAATATATAATAACAAAATAAATAAAAATTCATAACTTGTAAGATACTATATTGGAGATGATGTGGTACAATTTAGGTATCGTAAGGGAGATGATGTGGTCCAATTTAACAATTAAATTTAATTGATAGGGTTTATCAATCTCTTGGAATGATAGGTAAAATATATGATTGACCATTCAAATAACGTGAATAGTTTTTCTCAATATCATACTCTAGTAAATATATCATAAAACTATTAAACCTGAGCCAAACAACATATACCCACCTCTAAGACAAAGAGACACTAAACATGAGCTAAATAACATATTACCCACATTTAAGAACCACCGCAACATAAAGCGCAAAGTGAGATCCATCATAAAACCAATTGATAATAGAAGTAGCCCGCTTGGATAATAAATTGAAAATGTTTTGTAATTTTTTTTATGTGGGACAAACACTACTACTTGCACCTATTTATTAATTAGTTATATCCAATCTCTAAAATTTGTATCTCCCGATTAATGAAATATATTCGTGAGGCTTTGAACCTAGGAACAAAATATCCAAATGATTCTCACAATACAAGCCCAACCACCGAACCAAACTTATTTTCGATTGTTTGATAAATATAAATTGTATGTACAATATATAGTATTTTTTTTATTAAATCTTTTTTTAAAAAATATATTTATATAAAGAAAATACTTATTTTTTTTGGAGGGGAGGGGATAATGCTAGTTCCATCAAACCTTATAGCAATCAATGCCCCATTCAACTCTAGCCTCTTGCTCCTCTCACACTCTCCATCTTCATAAATTTATTTTCGAGTCTAATGTGTCTCTCTTGATCCTATCTTTTCTTTCATAGACAAACCCAGTGATAAAATTGAGTTCGGTGTTGTTACTTAGTTCTCAAAAATAGCATTGTTTCTTGTGAGCCAAATGCTCCAATAAAGAATGCTAACGAAATTCATAATCATATCTGTTGTGTATCATGATAGGAGAAGAGATAAGTGAAGAAGTTGGAGAGCCAGTGTTCTTTATTAAAGGAAAAACGAATTCAACCAATGAACCAACAAATAGGTGGTTTTTTTTTTTTTTTTTTTTTTTTTTTTTTTTTTTATATATGATGGTTGATAAAACTGATGATTAGTATTATATGCAAGATGTCTGTTATTGGATTCATTTCAATTGTATACTTTTTGTATGTCAATGTATAAGTAAATTATTCCGTACTAATGATGAAAATGAAAATTTTAGGGGTAAGTTGACAGAGGCTCTAACGCCCATTTAAAATCCTTCGCTATGGCCTAGAACAGTAGTATAGGTAAGAACCGGTACTGAACATTTTCCTATACGTGGTAAAGAATTCAAATGCATCAATGGTCAGGACCTACGGGCCAATGGGGCGTAGGCCTCCCACCCGATCAGGAGAAAAGATACAGAAATATGTGAAGGAGTTATGTCTTCGATAAGTGCAATTACTAGATATATCAAGGATCACTATTATGGAGATAATAAGTTCGTTCTCTTGGGGCGTCATCATCTGTTGCTAGACTATGAGAGATGATCTTTGGGCTAGTAAAATAGCCCAAAGCCCGCTAGAATGGATCCTATGAGGTCACACACAAAGGTATTGGGTTAAGCAAGTAAGAGGCCCATTATTGAGCCTTATGAGTATTTAACTAATCATGAATAGGATTGGGCTAGTGTAGTTTGATTGGGATTAGGAATTGGTTTTGGTCATGGACTCTTATTTATGGATATGATCTATAAATAAGATCTGTGCCTAGGATTGCACACACAAGAGACACAATCAACTTACAGTGAATTGTGAATCAAGGCAACCAATCCCAATCCCCTCATCTCTCTCTCTCTCTCTCTCTCTCTCTCTCTCACGGCACCCCTCTCCCCCCCTTGGACTTGCGGGCGACCAAACCTAGTGGTGTTCGCGGTGGTTCGTGGTGGTTCGTGACTAGTTTGTTGCTCATACCTCTCCGTAGAAGGTCGATTGAAGAGTTCGATCGCGATTAACTAGCATTAGTGGAGGTCTTAACCTGTGCCTGTGGACCAAGTAGAGGAATCACGTTTGAGGTTCTTTGTCACCCTTGTTCTTGCTCGATTGCTAGTGGAATCACGCTTCAAAGATATAATTCTTACTGTTTATGTGTTATGCATGAGATCCTTGATTAGGTGCTATATGAATATAATTCATGATTATTTCCGCTGCATAGTACCTATAATTCCTTACAATATACAATATGATCTATTACAATTTAAGTAACAGATAGAAGCTAAGTATTAAATTGCCTCAAAAAAAAAAAAGCTAAGTATTAAAGCATAAGTCTTAGATATCTTAATCACCAAACCTCTGCTAACAACCACACATAAATAATTAACAATCCTAAATGTAATTAAGCTTACTATTCATAGCCAAAGTACAATAAACTGATCGATCATTCATCGTTACACAAATAGACAAACATTACACAAAACTAGTCAAAACAAAACACACTTTTTTTTTTTTTTTTTTTTTTTTTTTTTTTATTTTTTTTTTTTTTTTTACAACAACAAATTACACAAACAATTATACGTAGTACTACATTCGGTCCAAATTACTCGCAACTTTGGAATATTTTAAATCTCACAAATAATACCTCAAAGTTGCGAGTAATTTGGACCGGAGGTAGTATATTAGAAACTAGATTTCGCTCTATTTTAACTCAAGTGCTTGCTTGATTGATTAGTCTTAACAAACAACTGAAGCAAAGCCACCAATTTGTCATGAGGAGGGGTGTTTCCTTGTACCACAGGCAAGTTCATGAGTGCATTCACCCATAAATAAATGAGCGGATGTTTTTCTTGGTCTAATACCGTCTTGCCGAGCACTTCTTCTTGAGCTTTGTACGCGCCGAATATTGCTATCAGTTGGATGTCTAGAAGTCCTAGGCATTCTTGCTTGATTGAAGATGCATCTTTTGGGAAGAAATTGATCATTTCTTTCTCCATTATTGTCATGTATTCATGCAATTCACTAAGGGCCTTTTCACGTGCTTCTTCATTGCATATGAACAGATTTCTTATACTTTCCAGCATCTACAAAATATCAAATGTTGATATGTGATTTGTAAGATCAAATTAGAATTTTCGCGTTAACTGTAACATTTATTAAAATGACGTGCTATTTTATTTAAATGTACACATACCTGGTTATGCAGGTAATTAGCCCAAAATCGAACCATAGCTCGTTCATACGGGTCATCAGGCAGAAGTCTCGGGGCATGATCCGGCCATGCCTCATCGATGTACTCTAGTATGATGAGCGATTCAGCAAGAGGCTTACCATTGTGAACAAGAACGGGTACCTTTTTATGTACCGGGTTGTACTCAAGCAAGGCCTGACTCTTATTTTGGAGATCCTCTTCAACATATTCATAAGAGATGCCTTTAATTTTAAGGGCTAATTCTACCCTTTTTGAGAATGTACTAGCCCACATTCCATATACCTTTACATGGTTTTCTCCCTCCATTCTTGTCCTTTTTTCTAAGTAAAATGTGTTTTTTCTGAGCTTAAGAATGGGAATTTATGGTTTTTTTTTTCTTTTTTTTTTTTTTTTGTCAACGACTATAATCACACCTTGTATTTGATTCGGTATATATTATAGAATATCCTTTAACTAACCATTTAATTTAACCATAAGTCATGTTCATCGCACCATGTAACCAATGACCTCATGAGCTTGACTATCCAATTTTTTTTTTCCATCAAGGTAAAGTCACAACCTACATTTATTTATTATTTTAATTTAAAAGCAAGAAGCATCGTATTATCGCCTTATTGGGTTAAAACCTTAAATGGGTAACTCAACCCGAATTATCTAGTCCTAATTTTCCTTTCTTTCCATGATCAAGATGCAATTTTCATTTTAATGCTCTCACTTTCTTCTTCGACTTATGTTATAACAAATACATAATTACAAGTTTACGTCGAATAGTTCAGTTAATGTCTTAAATACAGAGGTTACATCAGATCAACTTTCAAAACTAAATCTTCATTTCCACCAATTATGTTTTCCCTCTAAGTATTTGATTGGTGAAAATATGGTAAACATTGTTTGTTTTTCCACCTACAATATGATAAAGGCCCAAAACACACCATTGATCAATGATAATCATGTGTAAAACTATACACGATACTAAGTATCTTTGGGAGAAAAACATTAGTTCAGTTACTTTCGCTGCAAGGGGTATATGTGGGTGTGTGCGCTGGGTGGGTGGCAAGATTGGGGGAGGGGAGGGGAGGGGGGGTGGTGGGAAGTGTGGTGTGAGAGTAATGGTTTATGTTCCTGGCTTCCTGCATTCCTTGTGATCATTCCCCGGATTCCCCACTTCTCATTCTCCACCTACATGTTTCTCGGTTTCTTGGCAATTCTACAATCATAACCTGCAGTTAGCTCTGACAACACAAGCAATTAAGGATTCTGGGAATTCATTATTCATCAATTTATATGTGCACACCTGGGGTAGAGTGAGCATTTCTGAATATCAGAGGGTCATGCTTGATTGCTTAAATATAATTAGATGTGAGATGAAATGTGTTCCTAAATGAGGTTTTTAATAGCCTGTACCTGTGGGCTGTAGCATGTTTTCGCTATAAATTAATACTCAACTCAGAAACAGATTGATGCCTGAGATAGTCTTTGAGTCAGCTCCTGTATAGTTGTTCAATTAATTCAACAACAGCAAAAGTTCCAAAATCAGATTTTTCTTCAACGAACATCTTATTTGGGGCTGGGTTGGAAATCTTATATTCAGCTGCGTGTTTTTCATTCTTCATGCAGACCTACAAATAAATGAAGAATGTCAGTCTCACAGCTCATGTACCTGCACAGAAATGTATAGAAGACCAAATGAACTTTTGAACACTTAAATTTCCTTTAAAAGAAAATTAAAAAAAAAAAAAAAAACTGGTTTTTTAGCACCTGAAGGTAAAGAGCCTTATTCAAAAGGAAGTCAGTTGCACCAGCTCAAAGTTACAAAAGTTTATTTGAAACGAAATCAAATAGCTATTGAACAGATATTGATCATTTGATCTAGTGTACTAAATTTTATGTTGAGTACATGACAACCTTCAGTAGGACAGCAGCAAATTATATTATTTACAAGCTCCCATTAAGACCATAAGACCCGACACCAGAAAAGTTCACCAGTAGCTCCCACACCTAAAATTTCTAATCCAAATGGCATAAACTAAGAACAGAAAATGATAGCATCCCTTTATTACATAAACTTATCATCTTGTTAGATTCAATCATTGGGATTAAGATTACCAATAAAACACAAAACGATCCCAGTTAAACTTGATTGAACATGACTACTGGGTTCAGGTCATCATGTTTAGACAGACAACCAAAGTGCATTAAAGATGTACTCCTGAGTTTATACAAGTAGATGAACAGATAAATAGACATTTATTCAATAAATTTACGCAATAACTTCCAATCACAGCTCACACAACATAAAAAATCAAGCCATATGTACGTAGTAATGAAAGAGTTCCTACCCAAAAAAAAAAAAGGCACCCTACATTATAACAGCATACAGTCTCCACTTCACAGCAACATCTAACTGGCAGATACCTACACAATTAGTAATAAAAGAATTTCTTTGACTGTTATCTTAAGATATAACTAAACTCAGAATGAGCAGTTTTTGAGTTAAATCGTCTCATACTCTCATGTAGGGTGCATAATTGGAAATTTGGAAATTATAGCATTGTGTTGTCTCCACTTCTTTTAGCGCCAGGAAATCAGATATTAGCAATACAGTACAATAGTTAGTTTGAGAGAAGAAAGGTAATTCAAGGCTTATGTGTAAAGGGATACAAATGTGCGTTCTGGTCTGATACAGCTACTTTGTACTTCAGAAGAGGTCTTATATGAATGAGGAGATATAAATCCAGCTGGGCTAAGGGACTTTGTAAATCTGGTGTGCTACTCCTGCAGTTGACTACTCTAGACTGTTTACATGGATCAAACAGAGAATATTGTCACCTTATAAGAAGAAAGTTGTCTGGCTGTCATTACAGCTGTGGTGTATCAAGTATGATTATATGAAAGGTTAGAAAACAAGGCTTTGTGGGATTTAAAGGTTACTATGATTGATACAGTTGTACAGGAATAATGAATACTGTCAAAAGCAAAATCAGAGACATCGTGTAGAGAAAGGTTACAAAGAATGCATTACAAAAGATAGCCTGTCTCCCCCCCCCCCCCCAAAAAAAAAAAAAAAAAAAAGATAAACCTCATCGATGTATACTATATTCTTCTTCTTTGCTTAGCTTGGTATATGGTTCCGCTAAATTGACCTATCTGTGTACTGTAACCTATTTTCAATTGATCTCAATTACTTTTGTACATATCTTTTATTCTTCTAGCCAAGTGACCTACAATGTTGTTTGACAAGCCTGTACATGGTCATTGTTTAGAATAATGTTATTACAGACCCAACATTCTAACAATAGAATAAGAAAAAATATCTACCAATATAAAAAAAATGGTAGAATGAATGGATGTAATTGCAGTTCATAGTCCTTAAAACAGATAAGTATGTGTACATGACTTTCTACAAGTTGCAGTGCATTGAGCCATCGAGGTTGAACTATGAGAATTTGCTGCATATAGAATACAAAAACTAATAGTAGTAATAATATAACAATAATAATAAGCCTTACCAGAGTCTATGAGACTTGGCATCAACAAATATGCCATTCTCAATCGGATGATCTCGCTGCAAGGCCACTGCGAGGATAGGCTTAGGAGTCACAAGGCTCACGATACTACACCTTACCCTTGTTTCTGATGAACAGAAATATTGCAATTAGTTTTCTAAACCATTTTAATTAGCCAATATATTGAAAGAAAATAATTTTACCATATTTCATGCCAGCCTGCCAGGTATCTTGCAGATATGGGACACTGACAGTCAAGCAACTCTTCATTTGGGCCAAGTAATTTTGCATGACCATTTTTATCTCTTTTAAATTAAAGTCTTCCCTCTTTACACTTCTCATCTTTTCCAATTGAAGATACCTCTTCACATATGTTCCCATTCCAATTTGACACCATTAGCTACACAAGCATCCCAATTCCCGGAGAACCCTTCCTACAGATTGAAGGAAAAAAAAAAATCAAGTAATGCAATAGTAACTGATATATGCTCACAAAAAATCCATGACAGTCAATGCACACAAAAGAACATCATCTCAATAATCAAGCAATGGCCCATAAAGCCCAACCCAAGATCTTGTTCAAAGCCCCCTCCTCTCTCTCTCTCTCTCAAGATTGATGTAATGCATCATTCATTCTGACCACAAAAGAAACTGGTTGTGCAGCTGTCTGCAGGGATCATAACGATGACTGGATCAAAGGCGTTCAATGGAAAGGGTTCACAACATGCTCAATCCATGCTGAGATCACTGCAATCAAACTAACACCAGATTGGATACTTGCACGACAGTGGGAACAATGATTTCATAACTGATTCTAAACAGGCAATCACAGAGATTATATAGCAACACCAACATTCAAAGCCAATGTCTACGGTAATTTACTGCAGGGAATTGCTTAGCAATCTACTAGGAGCCAGTATTACTTTTGAATGGAGGAGTACCAACAAACTTGCTGATTTCTTGGCTAAGGAAGTGCATTTAAACTGCTCTCATATGTATCAAACTTTCTATTTATCAGCCCCTCCCCTGGTCTGTATAAATTTGCTACTTTCTGAAAAACTAGCTAGTAACTCAGGCACTGCTGATCATGTAAGCTATTCTCCTACTGGGGAATTAACTCGGACCAGCCACCTACTTTGGCTGCTATCTATGTCAAGTTCTGCTTTTAACCCCCCACCCCCCCCCCCCAAACAAAAAAAAGTCAAATAAAATAAATAAATAAATAAAGCAATGAAGAAATTGAATCTAACACTGTGGGAAGCCAGGAGCTACGGAAAAAAACAATTTTAACAATATGAAATTAGTTAGATACCTATTGTCCCATGTAAATACCATTATTCTAAGCTTGGGCAATATCATAATAATGTATACTAATATACTACCCTTTCAAATAGAAATCATTTATTTTAAAATTCCTTTAAGCCATCATTTCTTCAAGGCGTTATATAAGTGACTTAATTTGGAAAGGTGACAAATAGACAAATCAGTAGTTTTTTCCACATAGTTTAACTGACAGGTCATTCAACCGGGACAAAACTTCGTAAAAATGTAGATGTTTAAAATTATATACCTCATTGATTTGGAATTGTAGCAAAGTCAAGACTTTGTATGTGGTATTGGAAAAAATGGAGACGAGAATAAGAAACCAAGAAAAGGATCACCAGCTAGGTTCAACTGAAGCATTACAGAAACCAGAACAGCGAGTCACACGAGGCTCCACCCAGGTTCCTTGGTTAACCTAGTTCCTTTCATTATATGTCTAATATCTTCCACTTGATCCCATTGCCCAATATCAGCACACATGTTTGATAATGATACATAAGCCCCAGCATTAGATGGCTGCAATTTAATAACCTTTTTGGCTGCTAGCCTTCCAATATCAACATCGCCATGTAGTTTGCAGGCAGCCAACAATGTTCCCCAAATCAGGGCATCAGGTTTTATTGGCATGTTATGAATAAAACATTCAGCTTCCTTTAGTCTTCCAGAGCGACCAAGAAGATCAATCATGCATGCATAATGACGAAGGTGAGGTTCAATCCCGTAGTCTTTGGACATAGAGCACAGATGAGAATAACCCTCTTCCACCAAACCAGCATGACTACAAGCAGATAAAACTCCAACAAATGTCACAGCATCAGGTTCCATGCCCTCACGTGTCATAGCTTCATAAAGTTTTAAGGCCTCCGTAGATCTTCCTTGTTGTGCATAGCTTACTATCATAGTTGTCCAGCTAATCAAGTCGGGTTTAATTATCTGGTCAAAAGCTTTACGACAATCATTGACAACTCCACATTTTGAGTACATTGTAATTAGTGAACTACCAACAGAAACGTCAGACTCCAAGCCTATTTTTAAAATGAGGGAATGCAACTGAATCCCAATGTTGGTCATTTTTAAAAGAGCATCAGACCCAAGAATAGATGAAACTGTATATGAGTCAACTTGGATATTAGCCACAAGCATTCCATGGAGAACAGACAATGCTTCTTGAATGTCTCCGGTTTGGGCATACCCTGAAACTATAGCAGAGCACATAACTTTATCTTTTTGAGAAATCATGTCAAACACCCTCCTTGCTAAATCTTGAGCGCCACATTTTGAATACATATTTACAAGTGCACCTCCAATGAAACTCTCTTCGCTAAGCCCTGCACGGAAAATATAGCCATGAACTTCCTTACCAATTAAAGGAGTAACAAGTGAGGAGCAAGCGGTCAGAACTCCCATGAAAGTCACTTGATCTGGCTTGCTCCCTGCTAACAGCATCTCTCTGAACAACTTGATGGCTTTATGAGGATATCCATGCTCAGCAAAACCAGAAATCATTGAAGCCCATGAAACGATGTCTCTATCAGGAAGCTGTAGGAAAACTTCATAAGATTCAAGCAAACGACCACATTTTGAGTACATGGTAAAGAGTGAGCTCCCTACGCAAAGATCAAATACCAATCCGGTTTTAAGCATGTAGGAATGAATCTGCCTCCCTGTGTATAGACAGTCTATGATGCTCAAAATACTACCAATGGCAAAGCTGTCTGGTTTAGAACCATTCAGCAACATCCTGCAAAATAAGTTTATTGCTTCCTCGATTTTCTTATTTTGAACAAAAGAAGATATCATAACATTCCACAAACATTCATCATCATAGCTGTCCTGCTCTAGATACAGCAGTTCAGATAAATGTATTTCTCCAGCTTTGGAATATGTACTAATCATAGAAGCGATCACAGCTGAATCAGCAGCCAAACCAGATTTAATTATCCATGAGTGCATTTGCATAGCTACATCTACCATGTATGACTTGACACATGCACTGAGTATGCTAGTGATAGTATACTTGTTCAACTCAACACCAACTTTTCTCATTTCCCCAAATAACTTAATAGCAGAAACAACATCACCTTTTTGCACATAACCAGAAATCATAGCTGTCCACGAGACTACAATTTGAACGGGCATTCTGAAGAAGTTTTTTATTGCCTCATCCATAAGTCCACACTTGGAATATAAATCACTAATGCCAGTTCCTACAAACACGTCTTGCTCTGCACCATGTTTAATCACCAAAGCATGAATCTTTTTCCCCATATCATCATTTTCAAGTGCAATACAAGCACCTAAAGCACCAGAGAATGTTATCCTATTAGGAATTACAGCAAACCGTCGCATTCGATGAAAGAGCTCTATGGCCATGATCCCCACTTTTCACAGCCCCATATATCATGTTATTCCAACAAACCACATTCTGTTCATAAGGCCAATCATCAAACAACCGAAGTGCATCATCAAAACGACTATTCTTCGAAAAGAGTTCAATCATTCCAGAACGAACATACCCATTAGAAAAATACCCATCTTTCAGAGTTAATGCATAAACCATTTTACCATACAACAAAGACCCTAAACCACTACAAGCAGAAATAACACTCCCATAAGTATACTCATTGCTTCCATTACCCATCGACCTCATACGACAGAAATATCTCCAAGAAAAATCATATAATAAATTATTATTACATCCCGAAATCATAATATTCCAAGAAATAAAACTTGGGCTAGGCATTTCATCAAACAGTTGGACTGCATCATCAATAGCAGAGAGTTTCATATACCAATTAAGCAAAGAATTTGAAAGAAACATATCAGAATGAAAAAAAGCTGATTTTAGTAAATGGCTATGTAAAATGCTTACATCCCAGATTGTATTCACCTTTGATTTGCTCCATGAAGCAAAAATCTGATAAGGGTCGATATAATTTCTGGGAAAAACATCAAAATTTGCAGAAAAATTTAATGGGTTTTCAAATGCAGCAATAGAGGTGATAAATTTGGCAGAAAAAATTCGTATTTTGGGTCTTTTGGAAATTTGATGAAGGGAATTCATGGTTAAAGCAACCTGCATAGTAGGCAGTTCATAATTTCAACTCTTCGTTGTGTTCATAATAATCATAAAATAAACTTGATTTTTGTAGTTTTATTTATTATTAACTAAATTAATTTTGATCATTTAGGCATAAAAGTCAGGATGGCCGAGTTGGTCTAAGGCGCCAGTTTCAGGTACTGGTCCGAAAGGGCATGGGTTCGAATCCCATTCCTGACAATATAATGATTTTACCTTTTTTTTTTTCTCTTTTTTTTTTTTTTTTTTTTTTTTTAACAAAGTAATTGTTTAAATTATTTTCCTAAGTTACTCATTCAATTTTCTCAAAAGAAAGAAAAAAAAGGGGGTTTGGGCATTTTACAATTTGAACACCAATACATTACATAGTTACGGCATTTATTCTATATTGGGAAATTCTACGTAATATCCCTGAGGTATTGACTATTCCACGTTGTGCACTTGTGCCCCTCCCTTTGAAAAATTTCACGCTGTAACCTCAAGGTTCCAAAAGTTATTAAACTGTACCCCTGCCGTTACATGTTCCCGTTAGTGGGGCCCACTTTACACCTATTTTTTTTTCTCGATTTTTGTGCTAAAAAATGTCCCATTAAAGGTTTTAGGGTCATATTAGCCTTAAAAGGTCCAAATTGAGCTCAAATTTTGCAAAAAAAAAGTAACGTAAAAGCCCCATTTTGTGAATTTGAATTCTCATAATTAAATTTAAAATTCATAAAACGGGGCTTTTACGTTACTTTTTTTTGCAAAATTTGAGCTCAATTTGGACCTTTTAAGACTAAAGTGACCCCTAAAACCTTTAATGGGACATTTTTAGCACGAAAATTGAGAAAAAAATAAATAGGTGTAAAGTGGGCCCCACTAAGGGCAACATGTAACGGAGGGATAACAGTAGGGGTACAACTTAATCACTTTTGGGACCTTAAGGTTACAGCGTGGAACTTTTCAAAGGGAGGGGTACAACGTGGAATAGTCAATACCTCAGGGGTATAATGTAGAATCTCCCTTCTATATTTGTTCATTGAATCATTGTAAAAGGTGTAAAATATATCTAAATAAGTAAATATATTCAATTGAACTATACAACATTTGGAATGAAATTTGATTTCTCTTAAAGTTTGGAGGAAACTCAAACTCCAGGATGGTCACTGCATATGAAATATAATTACGAGATAAATCACAATCACATTTTAGCTTTTCTTTCACCACAAAATTGGTTTACCTTGCTACATTTATCCGACCTCTCCATAATAAGTTTTTCTACTAGGGTGTGACTTCTTTGAATGTACACGAAGTATCGTGCAATGTATGCCAACAATTTGTATATGATTGATAAACTCCTCACTTGAAGTTTGAAATCCACTCGACTCCTCGATTTTTCTAGCCAAATGTACCAAAACCATTTGTATCGAATCACCTTCTAACAATTCAAAACCCGAAAATGCTCCCTTTTTTTTGGAATCAATAGGCCAATCAAGTAAATATAACCTCTATGATGATTCGTGTATTCCGTTTATAACAACTAACACAATCAAATTTCTCCAAGAAATCGACATTAGAAACTCATTTTGGTTTATCATACACTACTTGTAAATCATCCTTCGGTTCTTGTTGAACTACTAAAACTGAAAACCCAAAATCCGGAGTAGCTAATAAGTCACCAAGAATCCCTAACTCCGGATATTCACAAAACCCATCAAAAGAAAGTCCATACAATGGTGCACATTCAAAGTCATGGTGTCTTCCTACCACAACTAAATCAATAACACCATTCATTGAGAGCAAAACATTAGTGGTGTCGGCGCCATCATTAACAATCACCTCCTTCAATGTCATTAGTCTCTCATTCTCCATTCTACCGGAAGCTTGAAAATTCTTAATCACCTCATTATTTAAGGCATTATACCTATCTTGGTTCGGAGATTTTAACCAAAGGACAACCGCCTTAACATGTGGATGATTACCAAATAGTCTAGTAAACGCGAGTGCTTCCAAGTCATCTACCCCTCCTATGAAGATAATAGCTACTTGATATATATTTGTATCTATTATACCTAAGTGAGGATCGGCCCTATCTAGCAACAAGGCAACCGAGCATGGTGCCTTTTCGAGCACCATCTTATTAACTTCCCTTATAGATAACGATGAGTCTTCGATTATTTTCCCTACCTTAGTCCATTGTACTTGCAAATGAAATGGTAAAATTAGTAGGCTTGCATCTTTTTCATAGGCAAGGCTACATATATCATTGTGCATCGTTTCATAGGTTGAAATGGATATGTAGTGCTTAAGGCGTGTGTAGCCTTTAGACTCACGTTCGAGGTTTAAGAAAGATTCAACTATCCGATTTGAAAATGCAATCTTTGAACGGAACATAGGCAATGACTTGACATAATCCAAGGGTGCCATGATAGGCATGGTGCAACGGCCGGTTAGTGGCATGAGTTGTAGCAAAATCACGGGGATTGGCCTTGTTCGTGTGGGATGAAACGCCTCGATGAGACGTATAATTCCAGGCAGATTATCTTCCTTGTAAAGACATGTTAATGTTTGGAATGTATTGCTGTTGGTTGAATCTGTCACACTTGGTCTAAAAATTGAAGTGTATTGACTTAATGGTTCATAGAATAGTCTAACTAGAGGCAATAATGCTCCTGTTAAGATCAAAAAATGAAACATTGCTAATGTGTACTCTTCTACGTTCAACCACTGCAAAAATCAAATGAAACAAGTTAGCAAATCAATCATCAAACAATTGAACATACTAAAAGTAATATTTGTACCTTATATGATAAATTAACTACTACCTCTGTTAATAGTTATCTGCAATTTTGGAGTATTAGTTGTGAGGTATAAAAATTTCAAAGTTACAGATAACCATTAACAGAGGTAGTATATTAAACTACTTCGTTTCAAAAATCTATTTTAATAGGTTAACAATGTGTATATTCTGTATTCATGTTCTAATTAATGCAATTTAGTAAAGGTAAGATGTAAAGAACATGATAACATCCCGACAAATAAAAGATAAATTAGAGATTGATAACGTACGCCTTTGTCTCTTATAATCCCAATTGCAGCAACATCCAACAACCCTTTAGATGATATGATGAAAGAAAGGGCTAAAGAGTTCCAAAAAGGTACCCCATATAGCCTTGAAGTAAAGCTAGTTCCCAAAAACTTGCCAATATAACCAACAATCAACAAAAATTCTAACTCATAAGCTCTTTTGGTCAAAGAGAAAAAATCTGTTTTAAGCCCTTGCATTGCACAATACAAAGGGAAGAAAACACAAGAAGTAATAGCTTCCAATTTCGCGGAGAAAACCGACGACAAAGGGTGTTCCGGTAGGGTTAATGAAAACAAAAAAACCGGTAGCAACTCATTGAGCACTTCACCAATCCAAGCTACAATAAGAACAACCAAAAAAATGTACATGAAGTGGGAATTCCTCATATTTCTTCCTTCGGGTGTTTGACTTATAATGTACAAAACAATTGGCCTAAAAACCAAGAATACTAGAATATAGTACCCTAGAGTGATGAACGCCTTCCTCCTTTCAAGTTTAGATCCATTAAAAAAAGGCGGTACAATAAAAGTCATGACCAAGTTTGTCACCATTAGTACAAGGTCCGGGATCAAGGCTATCGATGAAGCCATACGACCGATATCGGAGTTGCTTATGCCAAGGTCGTTTAGGTTGTGACATGTGACCATGAAGAAGGTTTGTGCATTAAGAGCCACCAAAATGAGGAGGCTTATGGATGGTTTTTCGAGTAGTCGAATGGACTTGAACTCGTTTGTTGCAAGGATTGCAAGAGCGCTGAATACATAAGCAAGGGCTAAGCCAGATAAACTTATGATTATAGATTTCAATTGTAATCTTCTTATAATCACACTCATGTTTGTTTCTAATCCCACCATGAATAACTGTAATACGAAGCCTACTGATGACATTGTTTCTAGTACGTATAAAACTGTTGGTGGTAGCAATTTGTTGTACTCGAATAATCGATTCGAAAATAATAGTCCCATTACAAGCACACCACCCTGCCATAAACATAATTTGGAATTAATATCCGATTATACTTGAATAATTTATCAATTCAAATCAAAATTTAATATTAAAAAATGTGTCCAAGAAATTCCAATCAAATTGGGAGGGGTAAATATTTAACTACTGAACGTTGTTGTGTCATCATCAATATTTTTTTTTAAAGCACACAATGGGTGCCTTATATTAATAACGTATCCATGTCATCATCAACATCAACATTATATTTTTCTAACAAACGTATGTAAACCATTATTTTTTAGCTACGTTAATAACCGCATACCAAATAAGCTAAGACGTCATAATTTTCAAAATTCAATATGAAGAGTGTACTTTGTGAAATTCAAAATTGATCAGATTAAAATTTTGCGCATTCCAATCTAAAATAACTTGCATTAGGTTTTTTTTCCGTCCATTTTCCTACAAAATTTAAATTAATATTTAAGGTGACAAAATGCCCAATAATCTACAAACAACATTTAGAACCTTTTAAATATAAATCATTCAATTCATTTGTTGATTATACACCACAAAATTCTTATATGAGACGGTTTTATGTTTTGAGACTGCTTAAAGTCGCTATTTCAAAACAAAAGTCACCCATGTCTTACCTACGGCCTAATCATGCAAGCCAAGCTACCATTATATACATAGTATACATACCATTTAAAGAGGGTTAGGAGGCAAATTCAAACAACATAGAAGGAGACAACAACAAAATTATCATCAATATATTGATATATCATAAACATATACATTAAAAAATAAAATAAGAAAGCTATAATAGAAGAATAAAGGTCGAATTTGAAAATGAAAACATACAATCATTTGAGACGTTAATGGCGTTTGAAGAGGCTTAAGCAAGTACCAAGTGAAGGTAGTAACACCCAAGATTATTGAAAGATTACACAATATAGTCGATGTGTACGTATCTCTAAGATATAATTCATTTTCCCAAAATCCTTTGTAAACTTTATGTGGTTCAACTTGTTCGCATAAAATTGTTGTGTCATTCCATATACCTTGACTCCACCATTGTTCTGTACTCTCAGCCATTATTGTGAATTACATTAACTTTTGCAATTTTGTAACGCCAAATTCCTTTTCCAATCTCAAATCAAACTTTTTTTTTTTTATGTTTGAAATGATCTCAAATTGAACTTTTTTTTTTTTTTGAAGGGATCTCAAATTGAACTTAGACATGCATTGAATAGTTTTTTTTTTCAGCCAAGAAATATATTTTTTAAGGTTAAAAAAATGAAATGATTAGTTTTGAAAAAAGAAAAATGATTAAATTGCTAAACTTGGGACATACTATTAGATATTTATATATATAAGATGGTTAGTACGAGATCTTTGTGAAAATAATAGCCGTCCAAGTTTTCTAAAGAAAGAAAATAATTTATGCTCGATCATGTGCCATAATTGGGTTAGGAATTTAAAAATAAAATTAAAAATTAAATAAATGAAACTAAAATTTGAATAAATAAAAAAAATATTGATGACATCATTTATACCGAAAATTAAGATATATATACTCTATAATTTGAGAAAAATACATTGATCACAGACTACATAATCATTAAAAGAGTCATTTTCAATCAACCATTATAGAATTTTCAACTTGATACATGTCTTTACTTATATCTTCCTTCAAAATAATATGTTCCAAAGTTGCATGATTTTAAAGATGTATATTTAACTATTAGTTATGTATTACTAGTATTAATAAAATTTTATAAAAAAAATTGATATCACAAAACAATAAATTGAGACTATATACTTATACGAATTTTTGTCAAAAATTTTAAAGTTTAATTATAAAGAAAAGTCAAAACAGGAACATAATTTTGAGACAGATATAGTTCTTTTTTTCAAGGGAAGAAAGAGCAAGTTCTTAGATTTTGGTCTAGGTGTGGTTAAACTCTTTTTAATTAGTTTGAATTGTGTAATTTGAATATTTATTGTTATACGAAATAATCTGTATTGATATGATTTTGTCTTCCCGAGGGCACGTCTTCACTCTCGAAGAAAGAAATCAAAGAAAGGACTTTTTTGTCCTCTATAAAGAATTCTTCAAAAAATTATGAACTTAATCTTTTCAATAAAGCACGTACAATACTTTTGTTTTTACGAGACAAAGTTCTAGCACAAGAAAATCGAATGAAGTAGAAACATAGTCCCAGCAAAGGGAATTCAAGGGCGATATTCTTCTCCAATTTGAATTTTGCACATGTCTCGGATGAATTTAAGGACATATTCAAAAAAAAATTGATCGCCAATTCCATGATTATTAGTTCATTCCATATTGGACCATCATTACTCAATTTTATTAGAATCAAAAGCATGTATAATTATTGAAAACATAGACAAGGCCCATATTGTGTATTGGGTCTGACTTATTATATTTTCATTGTATATTAGGGCTCCGTAGTTGTGTAGCCTATATAAGGCATGTAATAAACATAAGTGTGATATAGAAAAATACAGACAGTCAAATATTTTCTCTTATTTTAATATGGTGGTTTTAGGATCCCTTTTTCTTTCTTCCGCAAGATCAATTATATAATTTTTTTTCCTACAATAGCCGTCATCATCTAATCAATTTTTATTTTATTTTTGGGTTTGCTTGGTTGCTGCACTACATCCACCAATTTCCTAATTTGTTTTGTAGGTGTACGTGGCTTTCTCATACTCCTCCACTAAAACACCTACTTTTTTTTATTTATTTTTTCAATTGGATTCCATTATTCAACCTCTCTTTTTCGCCATGGTTGGAAGTGAAAGCAACACCAAGAAACCACAATTGATTCATGACGCATCATCATTCTACTATTTGCATCCATCGGAAAATTCAGGTATGTCCCTCACAAAATACTTGTTAACTGGCGAAAATTACGATGTATGGTCAAAGGCAATTATCAATGCTTTAGAAGGTAGAAACAAAGCAGGATTTATTAATGGTGATTTTGGTAAACCTGAGGATGACAAATCTCCTGAATTTGCAGCTTGGAAAGCTAATAATTCTACAATTTGCTCTTGGTTATTTAATTCTGTTGCTGAGTCCATACAACCTAGTGTCGTGTCTCATAAAATTGCAATTGAAATGTGGGTTGATTTGAAAGAACGATACTCTACTGTAAATGGACCTAGAATTAACCAACTGAAATCCCAATATCATCTTCTTCGCTAAAAAGGCATGAATATTGTGTCTTATTACAATAAATTTAAGGAATTGTGGGATTTGATTTATGGTTCTGAGGATGTCACTTGTGGGTGTACTTGTGATGCTGCTCCAAAGCTTCGTGCTCGGGCTGAAACAGAGAAGATTCATGATTTTGTGATGGGTTTTGACGATGAGCAGTATGGTCCTCTTCGTACTCAAATTCTGAGCATGGATCCTTTTCCAACTCTCAATAAAGCTTTCTCTTTGGCTACTCAGGAAGAGAGACTGATAGGACCGTAAAAGTATATTATTTTTATATATTAAACTCTTGATTTTATATTGGCATTTGATAATTTAAGAGTATAATAAGTAATTTTCTATCTTATACATGAGTTACTACTATTTTATTTATTTGTTTGCAGGAAAGAAAATATCAGCATCAAATTGCATTCTACGCCACTTTGATTAAGAGAAGCAAAATTTACAAGCCAGTTGACTCTCAAATATTTCAAGCCCAATATTGTTTTATTGTGTAGGCTTTTACATTTGGGCCTTGAATGAAAATATCTTCCTACTTAGCTGAGTGAAGAAAAGAGGCAGCTCAAGAACATTTCTCCTTGCTCTAAAGCATAGAGTTTTTCACCGACTTTCACGGAGAACAAACCGTCAAACAAGATGATAAAGATGAAAGTGGATAATTATTGGAGCGAAATACTCGGAGCAACGGAGATGAATCAAAGGCTAGTTCCTTATCTTTCGGTTAGGGAAGTTTTTGAGTGTTATCAGATCCGTAATTTTGGGGAGCAAAATTGAGGGAATATAATCTGAATTTCGGCGGAGAGTTGCGACATCCAACAGTGAACAGAGGTGGTAGACGAGTGAACAGAGGTGGCTTGGTTCTGTGCATGGTTACTCTGATCATCTACTGGAAGCTTTTGATATTTTATATATTTTGTTTACATTCAATTGTCAGCTACTTGTTTTTACTTTGGATTAGCAGTAGAAGTTTTGTTTAGAAAATGGAAATAATAAAGTTAGTGCTTCCTTAATTTGTTCTTGAATGCGTCAGTTACTCCTAGGAATTATACTTTGATTGCTTAATATAATTTCTAGTATCTATTTCTATTTTGCTTTGTTAACTAGTTTGACTATGAATTCTACATGTTCTAGTATGATAACCTCAATATTTGTTATGTTAGGCTAAATTATTAGAGGGGTAGGGAGATCAATTATGCATTGGATTATTGGATTGTGAGAATTGATATGTTGTAGTCCTTGGGTATTATGTTTATATTCTTAATTGGTTTGATAATCCGCTTGAATTACGAACTAGTTGATTATGTTTGAGACCGGCCATCTTTAGTATAATTTGTTAGTTTGACGACTAGAATTTTAGCTTGTGATCCGTAATTGTTCTAGCTAATACCATTAGTAGTGATTAGGTGTGTGATTGGTGACTAAAACTTGTCTCACACCTAAGATTATCAACCCTTTGAGTTGCACAAGTCCGAGCTTGGGAGACTCGTGGCTTAAGTTAACTACTTCCTTGTTATTAATGCGGCTAATTAATCGAGTCTAGAGAGCTTGTTCTAGATTATTAGTTAGTTAGACAATATTCCGAGAGCTCGTTTGGTATATATGCAATTAAGGGAAGTTTTGAATGCTTGTTTGTGTTCCTTGGTTAACATTAAGATATAAATGTAATTCGTATAATTCGATGAGCAATAATTGATACTCCAATGCTATAATACATCTCCCGATTCCCTATTTCATTATTTTTGATTTTATTGTATTTTAATTTTTATTAGTTTACTTCTCCGTGTTTTATTTGTTATCTAGTTAGTAGTTTATTTATTAGATCATATCTTTGTTTCTTCAAAACAGGGGTTTCTAACTTACACAAGTAATAATTTGATAATCCAATTCTCTATGGGATCGACCCTAGCTTACCCTACTACATTTTAGGAGGTTTTAGTTAGGTTTATATTTGGTAGACACGCGACAGTCGTATCAAATTTTGAAAAAAAAGACATCATTCGAGGTCGGGATGACAAAACCGATGCTATGAGCTTCGCCGTGCAGGCAGCTACCCATACTCCATCAAAACAATCTATTCCCCCTGCAATCACACCTATGGTGTGCACTCATTGTGGTAGGCAAGGACATGAAGTTCAGTTTTGCTATCAACTTCATGGCTATCCATCTAATTCTCGTGGTCGTGGTAGAGGCCGTGGCTCGGGCCGTGGTAGGGGAGGAGGACAAGCTGTTCGTGGGCTAGGTTCTTCATCTAATGCGGTGGCTCATAATGCTATGTCATCAACCCCTCGCCGAGGCGACAACAACAATAGTAGCTCCTCAACCGCAGCATCAGTTACATCCCTTCCAGGGCTCAATGCTGAGCAAATACAACGCCTCTTGACCCTTCTTGACACATCTTCCACCAATGATAAATTAAATGGTAAGGTTGATGTTATAGGTGATTGGTTACTTGATAGTGGAGCTTCCCACCATATGACAAGCAATTTGGATTTAATGTTTGATTGTGTTGACTTACCACCATTGCCGGTTAGTTTGCCGGATGGAATTCAAACCTCTGCTCTTAAAAACAGGAAGTGTGCAATTGATGCCAAAACTGATCATACACAATGTTTTATATGTTCCCAATCTCAAATGCAATTTGATTTCTATTGGTCAATTAATTCTTGATATATCTTGTTTTGTGACATTTACTGAACGTTTGTGTATCATCCAGGACCGCACTACGAGGATGGCTATTGGTCTGGGGGAGCTTAGGAATGGGGTGTATGTGTTTCGGCCTGTTATTCAGAAGGTTAGCTCGCATCTCAGCACATTGGATGATACTTTGCTCCTGCATCAGCGTCTTGCTCATCCTTCTAGCCAAGCTTTATCATTTATTTCTAGTTCTAGTCGTAGTAGCAAGGTTAAAAAGGCCTTGGATAATTGTGATGTATGTTTTAAGGCCAAACAAACTCGTTCTGTATTTCCTTTAAGTGATAATAAAGCTGAGAATTTATTTGATATTGTTCATTGCGATTTATGGGGTCCTTACACAAAGTCTACTATATCTGGAGCACATTATTTTCTTACTTTGGTTGATGATTGCTCACGAGCAGTGTGGGTATATTTGATAAAGGAGAAAACTGAGGTATCCTCATGCTTCAGGAATTTTTTTGCTATGGTAAAAACCCAATTTGGCAGGGTTGTTAAGATAGTCCGTTCTGACAACGGTACTGAGTTTACATGTATGCTACCATTTTTTGGTGAACAGGGAATATTGTTTCAATCGTCGTGTGTTGGAACACCACAACAAAATGGAAGAGTGGAGCGGAAACACCGTCACATTTTAGAGGTTGCTCGTGCCTTGCGATTTCAAGCATCACTTCCCATACGTTTTTGGGGTGAATCAGTTCATGCCGCAGTCAGCTTGATTAATCGTACTCCGACAAAAATCTTAGAAGGTAAAACTCCATATGATATTCTTTTTAGTTCTCCTCCTCCTTATAATGTGCTCCGTGTTTTTGGATGCCTTTGTTATGCTCATAACAAACCTCGTCAAAAGGATAAATTTTCCTCTAGAAGTCGAAAGTGTGTATTCCTTGGATACCCTTTTGGCAAGAAAGGGTGGAAAGTAATGGACTTAGAGACTAGTGAGGTGTTTGTTATAAGAGATGTCCGTTTTCAGGAGGATGTGTTTCCGTTTGCCCCAGTCCTTGATGCTTCACTTGCTGCTCCTTCATCACTTCCAACTACTGGGATGTGTGACTGGGAGTTTCAGATAGAATATGTTGCTCCTAATTCCCACATTCCACACTCACAGCCTGTTGTAAGGGGGAGCAATGACCAGGCTGCTGCCCAGCAACCTTTGATACCCAACTCTAGTACAAGTGCTCCTGCACCACAACTTACCTCATCCTAATCAGTTCTTACCCCGATTTCAGTGGTGCGAGAAGATTCTGATAATGCTACTCAACAAAGTACCTCTTCATCGAGTACCGCCTCTCCATTGTCTCCTGAACCTACTGGTCACCCACAGCGTGAACGTCGTCCACCATTCTGGATGGCTGATTATATATGTCAAACGGCTTGTCTTTCACACCCCATCTCCTCCAAAACCCTGCCAATGTCTTCCGCAGGTATGCGGTATCCTATTGCAAACTATGTCACATATAAGAATTTATCTACTGACCATAGAAATTTTGTTGCTGCTGTTTCTTCTAATGTTGAGCCTAGGTCATATAAAGAGGCTGCACGGGAAGCACGTTGGCGTGGTGCTATGAGACAGGAAATAGATGCATTGGAGAGGAATGGCACTTGGGAAATTTGTGACTTACCTCCAGGAAAAATTCCAATTGGCTGTAAATGGGTCTACAAGACCAAATATCACTCAGATGGAACAATAGAGCGAGATAAAGCTCGTCTCGTTTTTCTTGGAAATCTGCAACGGGAAGGAGAGGATTTCACAGAGACCTTTGCACCTGTTGCTAAAATGGTGAGCGTTCGTACTTTTCTTGCTGTTGTTGTTGCTAAGAATTGGGAGATACACCAGCTCGACGTGAATAATGCATTCTTACACGGGGACTTACATGAGGAGGTTTACATGAAGTTGCCTCCCGGGTTCTCATCCTCTTCTCCCAACAGAGTATGCCGTCTCAAAAAGTCTTTGTATGGGCTGCGAATAACTCCTCGAAATTGGTTTGCCAAACTCCAAACTGCTCTTCGTCAGTATGGTTTTCAACAATCATATGCTGACAATACTCTTTTCACCCTTCGAAAAGGGGATGATTGTATCTCAGTGTTAGTTTATGTTGATGATATCCTAGTAGCAGGTAACAATCCCACAATTTGTGCTTCTTTTAAAAAATACTTGGATAAGTGTTTTCAGTTGAAGGATTTGGGTCCGTTGAGATATTTTTTGGGTATTGAGTTTACTCGGTCTGCCGAAGGATTGTTCTTATGTCAAAGGAAGTACACTATGGATATTCTCTCTGAGACAGGTCTTCTTGGAGCACAACATGTAAGTACTCCACTTCCTCAAAATCACAAGCTTGCAGCTTCAACTAGCCCTTTCTTCTCTGACCCTGTTTTATATCGGCGTCTTATCGGACGTCTCATCTATCTTACCTTGACTCGTCCGGACATCTCATACCCGATTCACATTCTTTCACAGTTTATGCAAGAACCACGCCAAGATCACTATGATGCTGCCATTAGGGTCTTGCGTTACCTAAAAGCTCGTCCAGGTCAAGGTTTATTCCTCCGTGCAGATAGTGATCTCCAGCTTTATGCCTATTGTGATTCAGATTGGGCAAGCTGCCCAATTTCACACCGATCAGTTTCAGGTTATTTTATTATGTTAGGGAATTCCCCCATTTCATGGAAAACAAAGAAACAAACAACTGTTTCACAATCTTCGGCGGAAGCTGAGTATAGGTCTATGGCTTTTGCTTGTGCGGAGGTAAAATGGTTAAGGAGTTTTCTTGATGTTCTTGGTGTGTTTCATACACAACCTGTTCGATTATTTTGCGATAATCAAGCAGCTTTACATATAGCTGCAAACCCGGTATTTCATGAAAGCGCTAAACACATCGAGATTGACTGTCATTTTTTTCGTGAGCTTCTTGTGGCCGGTGTCATTACCACAGCTCACATTCGTACTCATGCACAACTAGCGGATTTGTTTACTAAAGCTCTTGGAGAAGCCCAATTTATGACGTTATTGTCCAAGTTGGGTGTTCGGGATCCTCACACTCCCACTTGAGGGGGAGTATTGAAAACATAGACAAGGCCTATATTGTGTATTGGGTCTGACTTATTATATTTTCATTGTATATTAGGGCTCCGCAGTTGTGTAGCCTATATAAGGCATGTAATAAACTTAAGTGTGATATAGAAAAATACAGACAGTCAAATATTTCCTCTTATTTTAACAATAATATAATATAACCCTATTCCGGATGAGGATCATCATCGGTCGTCACCATAGATCACCACCGTAGCGTGCCAGTATTTTTGTTTTTTAGGCCGCATGCCAGTATAGTAAGTCTTTTATTTTATTTTATTTTACGTTACAAATGTCTGTCGTCAGAGACGACAACACCAACAGTGGAGATGTATTTGT